TCTCTTTATTTCCGCCATGCACCTCTGCTGTACGTTTTTGTTTGTGCGTCCCCTCACATGCTCTGCTCCTGTTTTTACTTCTTTGCTTCGTGTGTCTGCAGGCACACACAACCACATGCACGCACAAAATGCACATTTCATTCGATTTGGAGGCTTCTTTTGTAGCGTGTGCTGGCGGTTGTGGGTGGCGCCTGTTCTCTTCTTCCGTGGGCATGAAGAGAAGGAAGGAGGAGGGAGTGCGCAGCCCGAGTCTACTTTTCTGCGGGTGTGATGCGCGCGGCGGATGTGTCGTGTGCTCCGAGTGACGGCAGCCTGAGCTACCGCGTGTGTGTGTGTGTGCGTGGAAGAAGTTTTCTGCTGCCAGTGCTGAGGCTCAGCATGAGAATTATACTTTCAGTGGCTTTGGTGTGCACATGCATAGCAGGAATGGTGAGCTGGGTGCTGTGTGCCATGTGGCCAATGCGGTGCACACATGTAGCAACTGTGCTGCCAGCTGTGCAAGGAAAGAGGAAGGGGCCACCGTTGCCTTCACGATGAATGTGACGACACATAAATACGCCGGCCCCTATGAATTGTGGTGGCGTCAATTTTCCCCCGATGGAACCATCCATCCGCCTGCACGGAGCAGCGCTGCTGACTGGACGGGCATCTGTCAGTTGCCGCCACCCCGTGAAGAGAAGGACGACACAAAATCTGGTGGGACAACTGCGCCGCAAGTTAATGCTGAGCCGTCACGTCAGCACGAGGATTGGCGACAGTCTGCGGCGGCTGACGGACCGAACACCGTCGATCAGAGTCCCGCATCCAACACGGCGACCAACAAGTCCGAGACGAAGCTTGAGTTTGCTTACGTTTAAAATATCAATGTGGCTCCGACACCACTTGAAAGAAGGCCCACGCCTGTCACCGAGCCGAAGGGGAATCCCATTGATGGTGCGATGAGTGGTTTAATAAATGTTGAGTTGCCGCGGGGAGTCGATCTATTTGTGGCGCAGACGACGCTGGTGCAGCCGAAGGATGGGATTGTTCCAGTTACGGCGAGGGATTCATTTGTTGCACCCTCTCTCGTCAGTGCTGGTGGAGTAATTGCTGTTTTCTTTGAAGGATACATTGATGCCGAATATCAATGTGGTCAATTAATTATGTCCTTTTCTTCTGATGTGGTTGCGGGGTGCATCGACTCTGCGTGGAATTGGTCCGCTCTTGTTGGTGAGGCCAATAAAAGATACAAGGAGGGCACACACTGTGCTTGGTGCAGCGGAGTGAGAGGAGAGTTTGGGTGCTGAGCTCCGCCCCACAACAATCACGAAGGGCAACAGAGTGTTTCTTCTTACTGGAGGCTCTGATGTGTCCTACGAAGGTGGGTGCTGGAGAGAGGGCGGCTTGGAGCTGAAACTGGTTGTGGGTGATGTCACGAATCCCACGGGTGGCAGGCAGAGTGGACGGATCGAATGGGGCGACCCCAAACCACTCTCGAAACTGATCTCTTCTGCTTCTCACAAGGTGAATGGACGGAGTTCATTGCTTCTGGTGGCGCAGGTGTTGTGATGGAGGATGGCATGCTTGTGTTTCCTCTGATGGCGGTGGATGAAGCGGAAGACGTTTACTCCATGATCGTGCATTCGACGGACAACGGCAGTATTTGGACGCTCTGTGAAGACATTTCCTCTGCGAAATGCCTTAACCCCCGCGTCACCGGATGGGAGGGATCACTTCTCATGATTGTTGACTGCGAGAATGGCCAGAGGGTGTACGAGTCGCGTGACATGGGGACAAAGTGGACGGAGGCCATCGGGGCACTCTAAGGTGTGTGGGTCAACGCCCGATCAGGAGTCCCTCAGAAGGAAAGCCTGCATGTGGATGCCCTCATCACCGCGACCATTGAGGAAAGGGAGGTCATGCTGTACACTCAGAGAGGGCACGCCTCGGGAAGAAAAGGGCCACTGCGCTCTGCCTTTGGGTCACGGACAGCAACCGCACTTTTTCTCTTGGACCGGTTGCCGTGGACAATGCTGCGAATTGGACGCTTGCCGGCAACCTGCTGTACTCGGATGGAAGTTTGCATCTTTTACAAGGGAGGGGCAACGGTGAATGCCGTGTCATCTCACTTTGCCGCCTGACGGAGGAACTGAGTGCGGTCAGGTCCGTCCCCAGTACTTGGACGCAAAAGGGCATTTTCTTCTCCAGCTTGTCTATACCCACGGCGTGGCTGGTGGCAGTTTTGTCCGGTGCGGCCAGTGATGACAGGTGGAACGACGAGTACCCTTGCCTGAATGCGACGGTGACGAATGCAGCGAAGGACAACGATGGGTTACAAGTGACGGGACTTGAGTCCAGGGCAATATGGCCTGTGAACACTCGGGGTGATAATGTGCGTCATGTATCTTTGAGCCACTACTTCACACTTGTAGCGTCGGTGAACATCGAAGAGGCTCCGAGCGGGAACACTCCTCTACTGACTGCGGTGCTGGCGGACACTGAGTCCAGTCATACCATGGGACTGTCGTACAGCCACAAGAAGAAGTGGGAGACGACGTTCGAAGGCAAGACAACAACACGGAGCAGCACTTGGGAGCCGAGGAAAGAATACCGAGTGGCACTCATGCTGCAAGGCAACAAGGCCTCTGTGGACGTTGATGGCGAGTCGCTGGGGGAGGAAGAGGTGCCGTTAACGGGCGAGAGGCCACCTGAGGTCCTGAGGGTTCGCTTTGGGGCGTGCGGTGGGCACTAATCTCATGTGACGGTGAAGAACGTTTTTCTGTACAACCGCCTACTGAATTCCACTGCGATGCGTGCACTCAAGGACAGGGTCCCCGTTTTGACGAGGGATGCGGCTCCGACACCATCTGAGAGGGTTCGAGTAGTTGACAGCGTCAGAGAGCACATTGCTGAGGGTATTACCGAAGAGAAATGAATGGGCACAACGCAATGCCACTGGACATGAATCCCTATTACAAATAGTCAGCTCGCAGGGTCTGGAGCGGCGTGAGTCCCGACGACCGCCTCGCACTCTCCCAA